ACTCTACTTTGAGCAATAAGAATGCATAATTATTCTCCAAACTTAACAGAAGAAACGTGATGAAATCGCTAATGAAAATGATATGTTCATCATTAATTAATCATAGCTAAGAATCGGAAACTCATTAAGTATTTCAATAAAGGTCAAATACATACGTACATATATATATATATATATATATATATATATATATATATATATATATATTATTCCAGGATCATTTATATATATATATATATATATATATATATATATGTGTGTGTGTGTGTGTGTGTGTGTGTGTGTGTGTGTGTGTGTGTGTGTGTAACAAGAAAATTGTTCAAATCGTGTAATAGGAAAATTTGCCAATTGTTAGTTTAAGCTCTGAATCTTAGAAATGATTAAAAATATCTTACTGGAATTCTCCGACGTTTTTATAACACTCTAATCTTCTAAATTTGTGACCTGGACAACAAGGAGCCTCACAGGTTTCACGTGCGATTTCATTTTCAAATCTCTTTTCACTGGTCTTTGTACTGTCATAGCTGCAATTTCTCTCTCGCGTGTCTTATAGATTGAGTTGGATCGTTTCTAATTGATCTCTTTATCTCTAAGTTGATCCTCTTGATCCAGTTTTCATCTGTACTGTTCCCTCTTTTTAAAATGTATTCAAAATTCTCATGATGGTTCTTGGATGGACTTTGAAGCCAGAGTATAAATATTGGTACTACTACTGGAGGCCGAAACGAATATTTTCCTCTCATCATTGTTCATTTTGGAAGACAGTAGGTTTGACACAAAACACTTTTAACCTGTCCTCTTTTTAGCTGAATTTTGCTGTTACACCCGGTATATATAACCTAATCTCAGATTATTTATATAGGCGTGTTGGTACGAACTAAAATGTCTATACCTGTATCTATGTGTGTCTATGTAAGTGAGTGTGTCATCCCGAGCATACACAGAAAAAATCCCCCCTTTTCACCACACACAAATAATCAAATACAAAGAGGCATAAATAGATTCAATTTTTTGAAAAATGAACCAGTTTGTATAATCGCGAAAAAGCGTGAAACCCTAGGTTACAAACTAATTATATATATATATATATATATATATATATATATATATATATATATATATATATATATATATATATATATATATATATATATATATATATATATGTGTGTGTGTGTGTGTGTGTGTGTGTGTGTGTGTGTGTGTGTGTGTGTGTGTGTGTGTGTGTGGAACAGAGGAGGCACGGTGGAGTAATGGATAGCGGCTTGATTGAGGAATCGGTGAGCCGAGTTCGAATTCAGTCGAATCCATTACATTCATTTACGTGCTAACACTCTTGGGAAAGGTGTGAATCCACTTTCTTCTCCCTCCAGCTATGGGTAAATAGCAGGACAGACTGGGTTCTATAGCCTTGGATGGCTAGGAGAAGGAAAACTCTGAATTCAAAACCTGCAGAGGGTGAATGGAGTCTCTCTGAGCCTTGGTTGGCAATCTATTTAGTGATGGTGTCACGATAAAACCACCCTTGATAGCCCTAGCGAAGCATCAAGAATTCAGCTATTTGACAAGATTATGAACTACACCAATCAAAGTATTAGTGAGTTCAATCTCGGCTGAGACAGCAAGATGATGATTTGGAACAGAATATATATATATATATATATATATATATATATATATATATATATATATATATATCCCCATGAGACACACACACATTTATATCTATGTATCCTCGACACACACACACACACACACACATATATATATATATATATATATGTGTGTGTGTGTGTGTGTGTGTGTGTGTGTGTGTACATACATACATACATACATACATACATACATACATACATACATACATACATACATACATACGGTGGAGTAATGGATAGTGGCTAGGATTGATGAATCGGAGAACCGGGTTCGAATTCTTGTCACGTTCATAACATTAACTTACGTGGTAATGCACTTGGGAAAGCTATGTATCCATCTCTTCTACCTATAACTATGTGGGACAGCTTGGGCGCTGTGGTCTTGATTGGCAACCAGTCTATTAGAATGACTATTCAAACCACTTTCTGCTTCGTATGTTCTGCCTCTTTAAGTTCTGAGAGAGGTGACGCGGTAACCTGAACGTTCCCGGTGCAAAAGGCACCGTAAGACATTGCACTATTCTGCTTGAAATGTCACCATGAACCACAATTACAACAGAGGGGGAGTGGTGACCACAGAATAAATGAATGAATTATCTTTTTCCAGCCTCTTTTTTTCCTGAAATTATTGACACCAATGCCTTCCCATAACAAGAAAAAAAAACTGTAAACTTTCATCAAAAGAACTTTTATTACACCCTAAAAAAATTAATATCTTTTATAAAAAGAATTTTTAAATTATATATATGTTCTCCAACAAAAATTGTATAAAAGCTTTAATTGCTATGAGAAAACTACTGTCGCATATATTTGTAAATGTCGTCTTTGATGTCTTTTCGCACCAATGACAATTGTAAATATTTAGTTTTATCGCATAGATACTCAAATTAGATACTGAAATCATTGACTGTGAAGTGTATTTCCTACGTCAGTCAAGGAAAATATATGACTTTGACCTGATGTTATTTACAATCTAAAAGTAATTTCTTGAAAATAAGGTCACGTGTCTATCTAAAGTTTCCTAGATAGAAGTTTAAACGTATTCTACTTTTGGCTGAACGTCAAACAAACATAACTTAATAAACTAATAAAAAGTATATAAGATAATTATATTTGATGTTACATTACGAAATGGACAAAGTCCGACAGTTATTTTACGTTATCTTCTGTTTATACGTTATTTTTATAGTTACAAATATTTAAGTGAATGCTCTGTTTATAATAAACATTATTAACAACATTTACCGGTCTGAATATCCGAGAAATTGTCATAGAAAATATGGGTCCTCCGACAGGAATCGAAACTGTACCTGGGTTTACTAATCTCATTAAATATTAGTTTCTTAGTTGAACATTTAAAAGTTGGAAAATAAAGGCCCTAAAGGGCTGCCCATAGCAATCCCCTCAGTTATCGTGGAAAGGGACTAGTTTTGGGGTTTTTTCTTTTGGTTTTTTAAATCTAGTATTTTTTTATTTTATTGTGAGGTTAATTTTCAGAGAAGAAGGATAGATGTTATTTAAAATAATGTCAATTGTTTCACCAACCGGAACCTGAGTCTAAGGATGCCAAGATTTCATCTGGTTTTGTTGAAATGAAGGATTTGTAAAAATTCATTAAAGAGCTGATACTGCATAATTGATATAAAGTTTTCCATAATTGATATAAAGTTTTCCATAATTGATATAAAGTTTTCCATAATTGATATATAGGTGTAGAAACTTGTGATATATTAGGGAGGAGTGGATTGCCTGATTTGTGGATGTAACATTGATAGGTGGGTTGATATACGCCGCTAATTTTTTTGTTGATTCTGGATTTATTCGTAGATATTTGTTGATTTACGAGGGGTTTTAGCTGCTAAGATGTGGTTTTAATTAATGTTGCCTTATTATCTAGTATGAATTGTACTTTTTTTCGTGGTAGAAATCCTTATTTAATACTTACAAAATATTAGATTTATCAATAATAGTGAAATGAGTTTTGAGTTTTTATGCCGCCTTTTTCAAGTTCCACGCTCTCACTCTGTCTGTCTCTCTCTCTCTCTCTCTCTCTTTCTCTCTCTCTCTCTTTCCACACACACATACATACGCACACAAACACACACACATATATATTGATGCATGTTTCATTAAATAATATAGACAAGGTTTGTCTATTTATTTTAAGTAAGTTCTTTTCATATTATCTGATAAGTTTAATAACATTATCAATGAAATCCTATCTAAGATTTCGGCTTACATAAATTTCAAAGCAACGACATACTCGTGTATTTCATACAACAAAAACAGACTATCATTATTGTTTCGTCTGTGTATTGGTTGATATACTGAAAAGTATTGTTATCTTTGATAATGGCTTATGTAAACCGAAAACTTAGATTGGGTTTAAACATGTATCAATATGGTGATTTCCTTTCGTCTTTCAGTGATAATGTGATTAAGCTTATCAGACAATATGAAAGAAACTTACTTAAAATAAATCGACAAAACTTGTCAATATTATTTACTGAAACATGCATCAATGAAAAACTGCTGCAGATATATATATATATATATATATATATATATATATATATATATATATATATATATATATACCGGGGATAACAGGAAAATTATTCAAATCGTGTAACAGCAAAATTGTCCTATTGTTGGATGAAGCTCTTAGAAACGATTAAAGATGTCTTCTTAGTATGCTCCGTCATGTTTAGAATACTAGTGGACTCTACTCTGACCAATAAGAATGCATAATCTGCCCCCAAAATTAAATGAAAAATCGTGATGAAATCGATCATATCATTAATTAATCATTAGTCAATTATCGGAAGCTCACGAAGGATTGAAATAAAGTTCATATATATATATATATATATATATATATATATATATATATATATATTCCAGAATCATTTATTCAAGATGCTCTTCGTCCTCACTAACCTTCTAACTTTCTGTCCTAGTTTAACACGTTGGTACCATTTTAGTAATGGCCTGAATGGTACCATTGGTACCGTTGGTACCATTTTAGTATAGGCCTGAATGACTTTTTTCTCACCATTTGCGCTGACACAATGCGATTTTAACCTGTTCTTTTTCTAGCGATATAACTCAAAGATTTTGTGAGTGATTCTTACCATAAATGGTGTCAAGGTGACTAAATGTCTTATCTGAAGACCTGGAAAAAAAAGAAACTGAATTATCGAATGAATAAATAAAATAAAGTAAATATAATATAGATGTAGAAAGGAATAAACAAAGAAAGTATGAATGAAAAAAGTAATGACTGAATAAATGAGAAGCTGACAAGAATTAAGGGCAAAATAAGTGGAGATGATAAAGACGGACACAATATCGAAAAATAAGAAGGATGTAGAAGAAGGAAAGAAAGAAAGAAAGAAAAGAAAGTAGAAAAAAGAAAGAAACAATAAAGAAGAAAGAAAGAAAGAAATGAAAGAAAGAAAAAGAAAAAAAAAGAAGCGATAATATGGATGAAGAAAGAAAGAAAGAAATAAAGAAACAAATGGATGAAGAAAAGAAAGAAAGAAAAAAAGAAGCGATAATATCGACGAAGAAAGAAAGAAAGAAATAAAGTAGCGACAATATGGATGAAGAAAGAAAGAAAGAAAGAAAGAAAGTAGCGACAATATGGATGAAGAAAGAAAGAAAGAAAGAAAGAAGCGACAATATGGACGAAGAAAGAAAGAAAGAAAGAAAAGAAGTGACAATATGGATGAAGAAAGAAAGAAAGAAAAAGAAAGAAAAGACAAATGGATGAAGAAAGAAAGAAAGAAAGAAAGAAAGAAGTGACAATATGGATGAAGGCAGGAAGAAAGAAAGAAAAGAAAAAAAGAAAGAAAGAAAGAAAGAAAGAAAGAAAAGAAAATGGATGAAAAGAAAGAAAGAAAGAAAGAAAGAAAGAAAGAAAGAAAGAAAGAAAGAAAGAAAGAAAGAAGTGACAATATGGATGAAGGCAGGCAGAAAGAAAGAAAGAAAGAAAGAAAGAAAGAAAGAAAGAAAGAAAGAAAGAAAGAAAAAGAAATGGATGAAGGCAAGAAAGAAAGAAATGAAAGAAAGAAAGAAAAGAAAGAAAGAAAGAAAGAAAGAAAGAAGTGACAATATGGATGAAGGCAGGAAAGAAAGAAAGAAAAAGACAGAAGAAAGAAAGAAAGAAAGAAAGTAAGTAGCGACAGTATGGATGCAGAAAGAAAGAAAGAAAGAAAGAAAGAAAGAAAGAAAGAAAGAAAGAAAGAAGCGACATTATGGATGCAAGCAGAAAGAAAGAATAAAAGAAAGTAGCGACAATATAGATGCAGAAAGAAAGAAAGAAAGAAATAAGCGACAATATGGATGCAGACTCAAAGAAAGAATGAAAGAAAGGAAGACTGGCCAGAAAGAATGACAAAATAAGTAGTGATAAGAAAGAAAGAAAGAAAGAAAGAAAGAAAGAAAGAAAGAAAGAAAGAAAAAGTATAAATGTAGAAAGAAAAAGAGGGAAAGATCGAAGGGTAATACGGATGAAGAAAGAATAAAAAGAATATAGACGTAGACTGAAAAAATAAACTCAATTATTTTAGCGATTTTTTAGATATTAAACGTTTTGTGCGATGGACAATTATGCTTTTACACGATTTGGACAATTATGCTATGACACCCGATATATTTGTGACAAATTTGATGCCACTGGCTCAATTTTTAATGCCCCCGCCCAAAACTGATTGACCCAAAAGAGAGGGCCATAAGCAACTTATTGCCGAAGCATTTTTTTCACAGTCCCAAAAAGTCAACCAGAAGAACCTTAGCAGACGTAGACATTTCACAAACCTCTATCATACGAAATCTATTGGGTTGAAATCTTATCGACCACGGTTAATTCATGGCTTATTAGAGGATGACCCAGACAATATGCTGTAATTTAGTGAGATCATGCTGAATGAATGTAAAAAAAAAAATCCAATAAATTAAATAAGCTTTTTTCAAAATATCAGGTCATATTAACTGACATAATTATATTTTCTGGTATAGTGAGAATAAGTATTTAACATAGAGCAAACTAAACCAGCCTGTTTTAGGGCGGTATTTCAAATTCCGGTGTTTCAGGACCCTTTTATGGAAGTGCCACAGCCGATAAATATCTCGAAATTCTAATGAATCAAGTTTTTCCACAGTTACAACAACAGCCCAATTCACAGGACCTTTATTTCCAAGAAGATGGTGCCCCCTCCATACTATTCAAGAGCAATTCCTGAGTATCTTGATGAAACATTTCCCGAGAAATGGACCCGTCTAAGATGTCCAATTGATTGGCCTACACGTTGATCTGAATATACTCCAATGGATTTTTTTTTCTTCTGAGGATGACCCAAGGAAAAATTTTATAGTCGAAAAGTACGAAGTATTGGTGATTTAAAAGATTACATCAAAGATAAATTTCAAGAAATTAATACAGAAAGATTCGTTTGCAAAAATGTATGTCGAAGCGTAGAAGGTAGAATTCAAAGCGGTGTAAATTTTGATGGACAGCAGCTTCAACACCTGCGTTAATAACATCTTCAGGGCTTTTGCATTGTATTATTGAATACAATAAAATTCAATTGTAGATTTACATAGTAATGATTTATCAAAATTTAATTGTATTAAGAGGTAATCTCAAAATCAGTTACTGTCCAAATACTTATATATCTATATTAAATATTTATATATATATATTAAAAAGAAGAGAGAAAGCGCAAACGTTTTTGGGTGTCTTTCTTGAGAAAGACATTCGGATTACTAACACAAAAACAGAGAATGTCTCATATCGAGAATATTTAACATCGAAAAACACAAAGGAGAAAAAAAATTAATTATTTTTAATAATATGTGGAAATCTCCACCCTTTACCTGATGACGGTCGCGAGACCAGAAACACGTGTAGTAAAATTATGGAAAATAAAACATAATATTTTTTTTTTTAAAAATCCACATTACAACCAAAACCTTTGCGGTTTCTCTCTTCTTTTTAATATACACACTTTTCTCTCGTTGGAACTGCTCTAACCGCTTCCTTGCATACACACACACACACACACACACACACACACACACACACACACACACACACACACATATATATATATATATATATATATATATATATCCTTAGTTGGATTGATGTGACTTTGTGACCCAGGGTTTCACGTTATTTGCGATCGTCAACCGTTTGATGATCGCAAATAACGTGAAAGCCTGGGTCACAAACTCACATCAATCCAACTAAATAGGTTAGCCTGTCGATTGCGTCTAGCATGAAACAGCTTGTCGCCTCTGAGTGTTGACTTCAATGTTCACTTTTATATTTATATTTACATAGGCTCTATCTCTAATATTGGCCACTGTATCCTATAAAAATAGCACACCTTAGAACATATATTTCTTCACACACACACACACACACACATATATATATATATATATATATATATATATATATATATATATATATATATATATATATATATATTGTTGTAACCTATGAAAGGTTAATGAATGGAAAAATCACACGAAGATTGGTAATGAACGATAATACTAAGGACAATAAAAACACACATAAGTTTCGCCAGAGGCGCGTAGAAGTAGTCAACTGCTAGAAGTAAGTCAGGTAAATTCCACAATGAATCTCCAACTACAGGATATCTACCAACCGCTCCCACCGCGTTCAGATGTGGCACAAGGACAAATTTAATTGGGGGTATCCGAGCCCGTAGGCTCGACCAAAAATTCACCGTAGACCCCCTGTAAAATGTGGTCGGATAGCTGTTTCCCGAGACGAGAATCTGCCTTTCGACATAGGCTCGTCTGGTGATCCTCTCTGACCGGAGGCAACGAGTTTGACCAGCACAGCTGGCGACGAATCTCCAACTCCAGAGTATCTACCAACCGCCCCACAACGTCACATGTGGCACAAGGCCGAATTTAATGTGGAGTATCAGAGTCTGTAGGCTCGGCCGCAAATTCCCCGTAGACCCAGTATAATAACTGGGTCGGGTAGCCCTTCAAAATAGCCTCGTATGGGGATCCTCTCTACCTTGAGGCTAAGAAGTTAACCAGCACTCCTGGAGACAAATCTCCCACTGCAGACCAACATACAGTATTTACTACTGCATTTATGTCAATGGGCGCATGTCCATTATCGTCGGTAGGTATGCTACAACAAATACTTATGTCGATGTATCTGTGTGTGTGTGTGTGTGTGTGTGTGTGTGTGTGTGTGTGTGTGTGTGTGTGTGTGTGTGTGTAAAAAGTTGTGCTGAAAAGTTCTCTGCTTTACCATGAAGGGATTTTGAAAATAATGAATGATCATTTTGACAGAATTTTGGTTATGCATCTGACCTTGAACTTTTCAGGACTCCTGCGCATATCTAGTTTAAATAGATATTTATTAAACTCAAATAAGTTTAGTTTTTTGTTTAACTTTTCCAACTTTAAATAAGTGTCAACGTTTCTCAATTAATTATGTCTGGAAATACTCCCCAAAACTTTACTTTTGTTTTTTTAACAAACGCATTTGGACTTTTTATTTAGTCATTTTTTTTTTTTTACACGTACGCTGTAACCATTACCTAAGTTAATAGAATAACGTAAATATTTTCAACGGATCGCTCCGCGAAATTTGATTATTACGCTAATGCATTGCTTGCCAGTGTCATGTTTTGCAGAAGGTTTCAGAAATCTCAGAAGCCATATAGATTTACCTTCAGCTCTTGTTGTGCAATCAGTCAACTGTATTGTCTTTACATTACTGACTGAAAATTCGTCAACTGCAAAAAATGGATTCCACATGCAGTGAGGGAAAGAATATTTTTTTTATTTTTTGTCCAGACACTGAAAATGTCGTGATTATGCAAAACAGACAATGGTGATGAAAGATGGTTTTATTACGACATATAGACAGAGATGAACATATATCTAGATCTTTGATGAGTTTCAATATCTATTCGAGTTTTTTTTTTTTTTTTTTTTTTTTTTTTTACATTTGGCAATTTTAATAATACTAATAAAATTACAGTAATAATTAAAACTAATAATTAAAGTAACTGTTGACACGTTAAGTTGTATCGGCCTGTGGCATTGGGATAAAAAGCAATAATAATATGATGGAATACAACTAGTAATAAAAAAATACTAATGATGAAGTGTGTATGAATCCAGAGTGTATTTTATAATTTCATCCCAAGTAAGGCGATAATGCCACTAAGATGCAAGGAGCTACTGAGAGAGAAAAAGAATGAGAAGACTTTAGTGAGGAGAAAGGACAATAAAAGATATCAGTCTATATTTCTGAGATGAGGTATTATGTACACGATTTACACTATTCGGAGCGAAATAAAGGGCTCAGTTCGACATTTCAACCAACTGAAGAAGGCCGGAGCGTACAACGACCGAAACATTGTAATAAATATGGCGAAAAAGATGAGGACAGTAGTCTGAATAATGTAAATAGTGTAAATAAAAGATATTTTCGGAAAAGTAGATGATGGTGATTGGTGTTTGAGTTTTAATATTTGAGGATTGTAGGTGGCAGTAAAATTAGTAATAAAATAAGAATAGTAATGAAGACTGTATTGATCTACAATGTTTTGATAAAAAGCAACAATAATAAGATGGAATCGAACTAGTATTAACTTAATAGTAATAATGAAAAGTGTATTGACCCTGGGTTTTGTTAGAAAAAGCAAAAAATATCAAGACTGAATAAAACTAGAAATGGAATTAATATTTATAATATGAATTTTATTTACCAAGCTTGTTGGGATAAAAGCCAACAAATAATAAGAAATCGTATAGTTACTAATAAAATAATAGTAAAAATGGCAAGGGTGTATTGGCACCGAGTTCAGTTAGAAATTGTATTGTAGCCGTTACCTTTTATGGAAACATCCGAACTTCATTGACCAAGCAGTTTGTACTATTGCCGGATGAAATTTATTAAATCTTACTCTTAAAATATTGTTTCAGGAAAATATGTTTCTCAAGTCCAGTAGCTGTTATAGCTCTTTCCAGAATTGATGAGAGTTTCTTTCCTAACCCTTTGTTCAAAGTGGTGTGGAACGTCAATTATTTTATCTGTTGCTGCTGGTAAAAAGGTGCAGTGGAGGCACGACGGAGTAATGGATAGTGGCATCGGAGAGCCGAGTTCGAATTCCAGTCGAATCCATTACATGAATACTCTTCTTCTCCCCCTGGTATGGGTAAATAGGTTCTATAGATGAATTGCAACTGGTCTACTGAACAAAGAAATGGCAACCTCCTGCGCGAAAAAATCTGCCTGGTCAGCGTGGAGCAACCTCTTAATTGCTGATGTACCAAAGTTCCTCATGACACCGGCTGGTAATTCCAGGGTCCCAGCTATTATCAAATATTTAACCATCAAACTGGGGAAAAACACTCTGAAAATATAAAAACACATTTTTATATTAAAAATATAAGTAATAGATTTTTTAACTAAAAATTGCCTACATTACGTTTCGAAAAAAATATTACCAGCAATACATTTTTGAAAAAATAAACA